TCACTCTTCCTTTTTATAGAATCTAATTTGATCCATTTCAATCCAGTGAACTTCTATTTTTATTTTATGTACGAAAAACATTTGATCAATACATTTACCATTATCATTTTTTTCCATAACAATGCCCATAATATAAATTGACCATACTAGGACCGAGGAGAAAAGGGGCTCGACGTGAAATATGAAAAAAGATATATTGAGGGGCCAGGCTTAGCCTTAAAAAATAGAGAGAGAGAGAGAGAGAGAGAAAATAATAAAAATATATAATATTTCGAGATACAAAGTACAAAACAGAGATATGATATTCTATGATGATCGTAGACACAAAAAAATAAAAAAATTAAAACACGGATTTGGTTGATATAGTCAATTAGCTCAATTGAATTAATTAAATTAAAATATACTAAGGTCCATAAAATCCAAAGCCCATCTTACTTTTTCAAAATAAAGAAATAAATAAATAAAATTACTTAAGTATTCCTCTTAATTAAATATAATTGAGTGATTACCAAAATTTGCACGAATTTAATTTCCCTATAAATTGGACCAATGGTCCATAAGGTGGAGAGGGAGAAGTGAAAGCGTAGAAAACAATCACAAAGTGCTAAAGAAATCTCAAAGTCGGAGGAAGAGAAGAACTCATCTCAAATCTAAATTCGGTGAATCTTAAGAAGATCAAAATTTTCTTCGAATCAAACAGATTTAAACCTAATCCAAGAAGATCAAAGTTTTCTTTAAATCAAATCAAATTCAAGTTCAAGTCTAACCCCCAAAATTCAAGTGTCAAACAAGTCGAGTCTCATCATATCAAAATTTCAACAAATTCTCGAAGGTCAGGATTCAAGCCAAGTGACCCCTCGTCTTCAAACATTTAGATCATTAATCAGAGGATTTTTGCAATTTTATAATTATAAGAAAATCAACATCACTTGTTTTTCTCGAAGTACAATTCGTAACAATTTCTATATTTTAATACACGAAATTCGTCGTACAATGACATCCATATTTTGCTCATCATATGTGATGTAAGGCATTTAGCAAATTCAATATCAAGTTCGAGATTGTAGCTCAAAAGTGTATTTATTATCCCAATCCCGTTGATCATCTATATAATTATAGTCAAATTTTGAGTACAAATGTACCTATTCTACATTGACATCATGTCATAGGATGAACTCATAAGTTGCAGCTGTCGCATATGTTGCTTATGTGCTTGATCAATTCGATGCGGATGATGGTCCTGCCTTTCCATTTAATTTGTATTATGATATTCAAACAGGGGCTTTTGATAGGCCCCCTAGCAGGGTTCGTTTATTTTCTTACTCACTCAAATCCATGCAGTCCATTTTGACCTAATTTTTTCTTTAACTTTTTTTATCTTGCACCAACTACCTTGATTAGTCAAGCTATTTAGAGTTTTCTTTGTCAATCTTCTCAAATGCGTGGGAGCACGACATAACTCCACGTACTATTTCTTCCATGGCGAACCTAATACTCGATGACTTCCTCCATATAGATTATAATGCACAAGCCCATTATTTTTCTTACATATCAAACACCATAATGCAAAATCTTCCCTTGAAAAGAATAAAAGATACCAAGCTGCATTCGAAAGTAGAAGAGTGTATGTACCAAGTTAATATGTATGCTTGGATCTTTTTCATTCTACAATTGTTTAATTTTGCTTGCAAAGTGGCCTATATAAAGGTAGTGACTCATAAGTGTGTTTTTGCACACTTATTTAAGTCATAAACATGACTTAATAACGAGCAAAATGATTGAATTGTGACTTAATCTCGTTACATTTGTGAATTGTAGGGAACACTGATGAACATGGTGAAATTCAGGAGAAAAGACACGAAAAGGACTAAAATGACACAAAGTGAAAGTTTAGGGACCAAGGTGCAATAATCCAAAAGTTGACCCGATGAACAAATCGAGAAATTGATTAAGCCAAATACTAATGGATGATATCTTGGGATGATGAAATGGAAAGAACGAAGAAAAGATGCCAAAAAGTGAAAGATTCAAGTAGAGGGACCAAAGTGGAGAAAATGAAAGTGAGAATCTACCATGCGGCTGCATGGTAGATCTCCCTTGCGGTCGCACACATGAGGGCAGGAAATTTTTTACGCGGCATGGCATAACCATGTGGTCGCACAGATTAAAACCATGTGGTCACATGGTAGTTTTCCGAAGCAAAAATTTTACTTTCCTTGTACGATTGAAACTCTTTTGGTAACAAAATTTTCACGCGATATAAATACCAAAAAATGTCCAGAATGAAGGGGACACCGTTTTTACAAGTTTTTGAGAGATTTTGAAGGAGAAACGAAGAAAGAACAATAGGAAAACATCGCGCCAAGTGAAGATTCGATTGAAATTTGATTCGGGTGATGATGTTTCTTCAACTATTTTTGTATTTTCTTCTTTTTAGCATGTTAGGCTAGATTTTTCATTGCTAGGAGATCGATGAACCTTGTAATACTACATTTGATTTTTGAATTGTATATTTGACATATTTAAACGCATGTTCCGGAATTGAATGATTTATTACTTTTTATTTCCATATTATTATTGTGCACGTAATTATATGATTTTGGTGGCTTGTTTTATGCATTCGAAAGAAGGAAAATAGGTTCAACATAGTATAAATCATCATAGAGTCCGATAGGGAATAGAAATATACCTCCATGCCTTGTGTGAATTGTTGGATATTCATGAAATCATAATGCATTCCGGTATATTAGTATTCGTCATAGAGATATAGTTGAATCACATATTGGGGTAGGTTTGGCATTGCTTGAGAGAGATTGCTAAATTAAAATATGAATATTGATTCATCTTTTGTGGAACTGTGTGTCAAATTTGCACGATTAAAAATTGAACGGGTATTGCTTAGGAATTCGTGATCCTAGTGCGTTAGTACATTCATTAAGTCCATAAATTCTAGTAGATTGTGTCTATGTCATTTGCATTTAGTATAATTCTCTCATCCATAATTGCATCATAGTTTATATCTTCTTTAGTTAAATCACAATACATCAATTTTACTTTCGTGTTTCGGTTAAGGTCATAATAGGTTGATTTGAACTAATTCAATCCTTGTGGGATCGATACTTGGACTCACAGTCCATTTTACTAATTGTTAACGAATCGTACACTTGCGGTGGATTTTAAATCGAAACAAATAATTTCGTGAATAAGTTTTTGGCGCCGTTGCCGGGGATTGAAATTTAATTTAATTTTATCTATTGTGACACTAATTCGAACCTATCTAGATTAGTAGTAGTTAACTTACTAGGTTTAGTTTATTGTTTTACTTTAATTTAATTTTGTGTTAATTTTGCTATCTCAGGGTTTGTATGCAAAGAGCACCCGATCAAGACTTGGTTCTCATAGATTCAGATATCGAACGCACATTTCATCATAGGCAAAGAGAAGCAAGAGCAGCACAACAGATGGCTAACGAGAAAAATCGACCAGTAATTCAACTCAACGAATGTGCGGGGGTTGAAGATGAAGGGAATATGGTACTTAGGGACTTCATGGCACCGTTGGTGGTCCAAAGTCAATCTAGCATTGTGTACCCTCCATTTAGGCAACCGAACTTCCAGCTAAAAATAAATGTGATTCAACTATTTCAGAATGGGCATCAATACTACGGGATGGCTAGTGAAAATCCACACACACACATATCCCGATTTCTGGACATGTGCCAGGTACCAGGGTATCTCAGACGATGCTATAAGACTACCAATTCAATCAACCCTCATGAGCCTCCTATTCCATTCCCATAGAGGTTGAAAAAGCACAAATTGGATCAGCAATATAATAAATTTCTTGAAGTCTTCAAGAAATTACACATCAACATTCCATTTGCTGAGGCACTTTTTCAGATGCCGAGTTATACAAAATTCCTAAAGGATATCCTCTCTAACAAACGAAAGATAGAAGAAAACGAAACAGTGATGCTAACTGAGGAATGCAGTGCCAGAATCCAGAAAAAGCTGCCTCCAAAACTAAAGAATCTAGGGAGTTTTAATGTACCTTGCACTATTGAAAATTGTCATTTTGATAAAGTTTTGTGTGATTTAGGTGCAAGTATTAATTTGATGCCTCTCTCTGTTTTCAGGAAACTCAGCTTGGGAGAAGCTAAAGCCACAACTGTCACCTCACAGTTAGCAAATCGATCCCTTACACATCCAAGAGGGATCGTTGAAGACGTGTTGGTAAAAGTAGAGAAGTTCATATTTCCAGCCGATTTTCTCATTTAGATATGGAGGAAGATAACGATGTTCCACTCATATTGGGGTGACCCTTCTTAGCTACTGGAAGAGCTATTGTTGATATTCAGAAAGGGCAGTTTATATTGAGGCTTGGCGAAGAGCAAATCTCTTTCAACATGTTCAAGGCAATGAAATTTCCTACTGAGTCCGACAGATATTTCCAGATCGATGTAATTGACAGAATAATTCAAGATATATTTCGGTTACATCATCCTTCCGATGCATACGAGACATGCATTGCACATTCTCAATCCACTCACACTGATTCAAGTGAGATTGAAACATGTGCACGATTTTTGAAAACTAATCTACCATACATGCGCAAGCGTCATTTCGAAGAACTGGGAACTAGGACCACAAAGTCAGTGCCATCCATTCAGCAACCTCCCAAGTTGAAACTCAAACAATTGTCACCACATCTTCGATATGCTTACTTGGGGGAGTCTTCTACACTCTCGGTTATTATTTCAAATACTGTCAGTGAAGTGAAGGTTCGGGTGCTGAGGGAGAATAAAATAACATTAGATGGTCAATTGTAGATATCAAGGGGATCAACCCGTCGCTATACATGCATAAAATACTCATGGAGGAGGAATTCAAACCAAGCATCGATGGTCAGCGGAGATTGAATCCACACATGAAGGAAGTGGTAAGAGCTGAGGTATTGAAGTTGCTCGACGCAGACATCATCTACCCGATATCAGATAGTGCATGGATCAGTGCAGTACAGATTGTTCTCAAGAAAGGGGGTATCATAGTGGTGAGAACGAGAAAAATGAGTTGATTCGTACAAGAACACTAACTGGATGGAGAGTTTGCATCGATTACTGCAAACTAAACGCTGCTACTCGAAATGATCATTTTCCACTACTGTTCATTGATCAGATGTTGGAGAGACTAGTAGGGGACCCGCATTACTGTTTTCTGGATGGGTACTCCGAGTATAATCTGATTCCAGTAGCACCTGACGATCAGGAGAAGACAACTTTCACATGCCCCTACGATACCTTTGCATACCGTAGGATACCTTTTGGTTTATGCAACGCTCCTGCCACCTTTCAGCGCTGCATGATGGCTATCTTTTCGGATATGATTGAGAAATTCATCGAGGTATTCATGGACGACTTCTCAGTTTTTGGGTCTTCGTTTGATGAGTGTTTGGAGCATATGAGTCTTGTGTTACAGCGGTGTACAAAGACCAACTTGGTATTAAATTGGGAGAAATGTCACTTTATGGTACAGGAGGGCATCGTTTTAGGACACAAAATCTCAGCAAAGGGTATTGAGGTAGACATAGCAAAGATTCAGGTGATCGAAAAATTACCGCCACCAACATCAGTGAAAGGTGTTCGTAGCATCCTCGGGCATGCCGGTTTCTACAGAAGGTTCATCAAGAATTTCTCAAAAATAACTAAACCACTACGCTGTTTGTTGATGAAGGAATCCACATTTGAGTTCACAGACGAGTGTTTGCTGGCTTTTAATACCTTGAAAGAAAAGTTGATTTCAGCACCCGTGATCATCACACCGGATTGGAACCTACCATTTGAATTAATGTGCAACGCCAGTGATTTTGCTGTTGGGGCCTTATTGGGATAACGAAAAAATAAGATATTTCACGTGATCTACTATGCAAGTAAAATCTTGAAGACGCTCAATTAAACTATGCCACTACAGAGAAAGAGATCCTTGCAGTAGTCTACGTCTTTGATAAATTTCGATCATATCTTGTGGGGTCAAAGGTCATCGTTTACACATATTACATTGTTATCAAGTACTTAATGGAAAAGAAGGATACAAAACCACGTCTCATTCGTTGGATATTGTTGCTTCAAGAGTTTGATTTGGAAATCAGGGATAAGAAGGGCAGTGAAAATGTGGTGGCAGACCACTTGTCTCGACTTGAGACCACAGAGCAGATAGAGACCGTGGACGTCACAAAATATCGAGGTATGATTGGATCCCTTCTTTATTTGACTGCTAGTAGGCCCGATATTATGTTTAGTGTTTGCCTATGTGCTCGCTTTTAATCTAATCCTAAAGAATCACACTTAAGTGCCGTGAAAAGAATTTTTTGTTATCTAAGTGTTACGAAAACTTTAGGACTTTGGTATCCAAAAAGCACTCATATTGACTTAATTAATTATTCGGATGCCGATTAGGCCGGATGTAATGTTGATCGTAAAAGCACTAGCGGAAATTGTCACTTTCTAGGCTTTGCACTCGTGTCTTGGTCTAGTAAGAAACAAAATTCCGTTGCACTATCCACCGCCGAGGCCGAATATATCTCGGCCGCTAGTTGTTGTGCACAAACACTTTGGATGAAACAAACTTTATGTGATTATCATTTGACTTACGATCATATACCCATTTTATGTGATAATACTAGGGCTATAAATTTATCTAAAAATCCCGTTTTACATTCATGAACTAAGCATATCGAGATTTGACATCATTTTCTTCGTGATCATACCTAAAAACGAGATATTGAATTAGAATTTATAAAGATCAAAGACCAATTGGCTGATATTTTTACAAAACCTCTCGCGCATGACCCTTTTTCCTACATTCGAAGAGGTTTAGGAATTCTTGAAGAAAATGAAATAAATTGAGTGATAGAATGTTTTAAATTTCTCTTGCATGTTTTTCATTTCACTTTCTCAAAATCATTTAAAAAAAATAAAATCCGAACGAGCCAAACTTGTCCGGACTATACTATCCGGATTGGCAGAGTGTTCAATGAAATTTCAAATTTTTGTCATCCGGACGTCCGGATTATGACACGGACGTCCGAAACATCGCAATCCAGTTTTTAAACCACGCGTCCATCTCTTTCGTCTTCTATTTTCTCCATTTTCTCTGTAATATCCACACACACGCACATATTTTCTGTTCCAATCCATTTTGTTTCCCTCTTAACTCAATAACCCAAACGATTGCACACATTTCTCAACCAAAATTCGAAATTTTTCCTCAAAAATCGACCTTCTTCTTCGCTCGAATCTCTCTGCAAAACTTTAATTTTTTTACTGAAAATCCCTCATAATAGTTAAAGTCTTTCACACACCTTTAATCTACTCATCTAGTAGCCTATTTTTGCATGGAAAATCATCAATTTTTTCTTACCCATACCAAGCCCTAGAAAACGACCGTTTGCTTTTTTTTTTGGGGGATTTTCTGAAAATTTGGGCATTCCACCTATTTCTTCAAAATTCTCCATTATGTCAAGTTCTAGACGAGGAAAGAGGAGAAGAAGGATCACGCAACGACCTCCTTCACCATCGGACCGTGAAATGGATTCGGAGTCGGAGGTGCAACCGAATCCTTTTGAAAAATCGCCCATTTTAATCGGTAAGAATGTTGATTTTATGGATTTTACTATTGAAGCTCCCGCATTTCATATTGAGGAATGTTTTGAACGAATGGGATAGGTAACCGTAGCTACAATGAAAGAACATGCTTATCCACGTCTAATGAAAGAATTTTATCAAAAAATGCACTTTTCACCACGTTTTGACGAGATCACATGCTTTGTTAACAATGTTCGCTTTACAATTTCAAAAGTCATAATTCGTACTATTCTTAATCTTGAACCTTGTGATTTGGAAGTATTTTTACATAAGTCTCCACCAACGGTGGAAGGTTACGATCCTTCAGATGCATGTCATCGAGTCACGGGGAAAGTTTTTGAAAATATCACAAAATTAAGTGCATATCAATTAACTCTTACTTGCAAAGTTTTACAAAATATAATTGCGCATGTTATTTTTCCCCACAAAGGTCATCGAGACGAAGTTAATCACTTCGATCTCTTTATTTTGGACTCTCTCTTAGTCGGGCGTAAACTTGATTTTCCCACTATTGCACTTGGTCTTATGAAACTTGTGCATGCATCATGACACACTAAAGCTTTACCTTACGGGATGCTTCTCACAAAAATCTTTAAACACTTTAACGTTTCATTGGATGGTGAAGATTTTATAAAATTACGCCCTACCGATACTATTAACATTTAAACCTTAAAACGGATGAAGATACTAAAGGAACAAGGCAATGGGTAGCTCATACGAAAGGGTTTGATCCTACCTTCGGTCCATCCACTCTCCCATTTGACGATGCACTTGAATCAGACGAAGACGAACCTGAAGTTCCTGCTCCTGCATCTGACATTCCCGGCTCGAGCGCGCCTCCTACTTCCCGAGGGCGTTTCACATTTATCGAGGAGCACTATAATCTCTTCCACGGGCAGATTGATTCTCTTACCTCATCGGTCGAAGGCATGGGTAGCCTACTTTTCCATATGCAGGCTCAGCAGATAGTTATCTAGGACCGACAGCTCGAGATGCAGCAGCAGCAGTAGCTTGACATGCAGCAACGACAGATTGAGATGTATCAGCGACAGGCTGAGATGCAGGCTTAGCAGGCTGCATTTTTCACTGACTTTTATGCTAGGTTTCCTCCTCCACCCCCACCTCCGACCCCTTAGTTTACTTTCTTGCCTACAATTATTATTATGTTACTTGTTATCTTTTGCTACTTTACGTTTTTTAAATGGTTGGCTTCTTATATGGTAATGTTTTTTCTTCCTTCATTCTACTTGCTCTATTATTTCTTTTTGCTTATGTCAAAAGGGGGAAGATGAACAGATGATTATGCAAAATAGGAACAATATAGTAAGGGGGAATATTATTAAATGTTATATGCATGTTGATAGGGGGGAATATTACTTGCAATATACAAAATTATGCTCTTGATTATTTGATGCCAATTCAATTTGTTCAATATTTATTTTGCAAAAATCATCTTGTTTGTCATTATAAAAAAGGGGGAAATTGTTGACCTAAGGTTGACTTCTTGTTTTGATTATCACAAACAAATTGTGTCTGATTCTAACAAATTGAATTTAAGTGATTGATAGTGATTATTGCAAGTTTATGACACGAAAGTTCTAGATCGAGAATCACGCAATCTTGGCTCTAAACGATAAACAAATAAGCAAGATTGAAGATTTACAAGCGAGGAAATGGAAATCAAGCTTTCACGTACCAAATCGCATTGGATGAAGGAATTAAAGACATTAGCTATAGATGCATTTGTATACTCAAATGTAAAGGTAAAACACTTTAATACTTCACATCGATTATAGCTCAAACAAATTTTTATACACGAGGATTATCGTAACAAACTTTAAAATTATTTTCAAAAGATAAGTAATTTGATTTTCACAATTAAACCTTTACGAAATTACTTATCTACATGAAGTATATAAGAAAACCGTTCAAATACCTTAAAGGAATTTTTTTACGAAGAAAGAAAAATTAATGGGCAAAATAATAGCCCATCCGGACGTCCGGATGAGGTTGTCCGGACGTCCGGATGAGACCTTCAACGGTCGAATTTTTTACCGTTTGTCAAACGGTTAGTTACCCGTTCGGATATCGAGTGGACGTCCGATTCACTTGTCCGAATCCCCCGTTTGATGGCTATAAATACATCTCTTTTTGCCTCATTCAAAACAAGATTTTTAGAGCATTAAAGAGAGTTATTTATTGATCTTATCTACCTTATTTCTCAATTTTTAAGAGATCAAAATATTTATTTGTTGAAAAACTTTTTGAGTCAGTAACTTTGTCAAAAATCATATATCTCGATAAAAGTTTTTCACACAACACTTGAGCTATATTCTTTGTGATTTATTGAAGTGCTGTGCCTACTTCTCTCTTAATACTTCGTTGTATTCATATCATTTGTTAAGAGAGAAGCTTTTCAAGTGTAACCTTGATATTCTTGTTCATTGAATTGTGGGTCGTGTTGAGGTCCCGGAAAACTCAATGTGTAAAAGAATTAGTGCTTCTTAGTTGTAAGTCACCGAAAGCATTGTAAGGGTTGGATTGCACAAAGATAGTGAAAAAGGCCTTGCTCGTGACGGAGAGCTTGGTAACGAGGGACGTAGATCGTGATTCGATCGAACCTCCTTATTACATCGTTTGCATTCTCTTTTCCCTTCCTTTTATTATTTTTCTGTTATCTTATTTATTCATTGTTATTTGCTTATATTTGCATTTATTTTCGAAAAAGTATTAAATAACCAATTCACCCCCCTTTTGGTTAGTTGTTCTTGGGCTTTCATACAACTCTAGGATTAAGCTGTTCCCACGAAAGCTGCGATCGAGATGGTCTGGTCCATATACTATTACACAGGTATTTCCACATGGGGTAGTTGAGATCACTCATGATAGCAAGGGAATATTCAAGGTCAATGGATAGCGTTTGAAGTACTATTAGGATGGCGATTTTTCAAAGGAAAAGTCTACCGTTCATCTTAGACCACCAGAATGACGTATTACGATAAAGTCGAGCTATCGACTATAACCTAGCGCTGGGCGGGCGGCAACCCACTGTGTCCTTCTATTTATCTTACTTTTCACATTATTTTCGGAGTTATTTAATTTTCGCATTTGCATTTTTCTAGGTCATCGTTCATACATGCATGTTAATAAGATCAAATTATCGTCCCCATAATTTCCTAGGCATTATACACATGGTCGGTGAGTTTGAAATGATTTTGGATGATTGGGAGTAAAATTCACGCATTTTAA